TGTACCCCAACATCCTATTGGCCTTTTTTATTGCTTCCCCACACTGGCGAGAATGAGACATGGAAGCATCAACATACACACCAAGGTCTTTCTCATACTCAGCTACCTTTATTTCAGTAGGTCCCATAAAATACCTGTACTTTATATGTATATGTACTTTATTTGTAGCTTCAAATGGACTACCTAGTTTGAACTGCTGGTAGTATGACTGATAGACATTTATCAAGCAGAAACATTATTGAGCCCACCAGGTAAATGGTACAAAATTGCTCTTCTAGGTGATGCCGTGGACCGAAATGGCAGCACCCTCGCCAACAGCGCCCGCAGGTTGGAGGTGGTCCGGAACTGCATCACCTACATCTTCGAGAACAAGATGCTGGAAGCCAAAAAGGTGAGCAGTCATCGTGGCTTTGCACTTGCCTGGGAAATCCCAGGGCGATACCTGGCCAAGTCTGAATTGGAACTGTCGGGAAAAACCCAAAAACACTTCAGGATGCATCAAGTGAGTGTAAAAGCTGTGTATGTGCCAGCCTCGGGCTTTGAGTCTTGTGAAAAAAGCTTTGCAGGTGTTCTGCAGCTAAGTGAAACAGATCAAGGCACTTGTGGTTCTGGCTGCTATACTTTGTGAAACTGGAAAGGATTGCTGAAAGTATGACTGTACCCTTGATGCAATATCTATCGCAAGTGACTGCATACTGGAAAACTCAGGACTGTATTTCCAGTTAAGCAACTGAGTCGTTAATCTCATGTATGACTGCAATCACCCGACCCTCCTCCGCAGCTCCTTCCGGCGGTTCTGCGGGCTCTGAAGGGCCGGACAGCCCGTCTGTGCCTGACCCAGGAGCTCCACCTACATGTGCAGCAGAACCGGGCCGTGCTGGACGACCAGCAGTTCGACTACATCGTGCGCATGATGAACTGCACGCTGCAGGTGAGTTTAGCACTCAGAGGTTCCTCCCAAGGTTACTCCATGATGATTCTCCTGGAACACCATTGGCAGCTGTGTAGTTGGGGCAAAGCTGTGCAAATTAACTAACTGACCTGGAGTTCCACTGTGAGGTCTGGGTGTTGCTTTTTAATTATTGGTCAAATGCAGTATGACACTAATCAATGGGGCCCTCTGCAGGTTAAATAGAAATGAGTAATGCTCTCATTTGCCGGCCTTTGCCATTAGTGTGAATCACTTCAGTATTGCATTTGTCGGTCTGTCCAGGATTGCTCAGTCATTGATGAACACGGAATTGCTGCAGGACTCCTGCCTCTGGTCACGGCGTTCTGCAGAGTAGGTGCACCATCGTGGCTTACTGTAGAGGCAACATCCCATCCTTCAGTAAATGGACCTGAGCACTGTCTCTGTCTCTTGCAGAAACTGGGAGCAGGCGTCACCCAGTTTGCCTACAGCTGTGTGCAGGACCACATGGTCTGGGCCAACATGCAGTTCTGGGAGGCCATGTTCTACAGCGACGTCCAGAACCACATCCGAGCCCTCTATATGGACGTCGGGGATTCTGTAAGAACACAACCGTGTTCCGGGTCCGCTGGGTAGTGAGCCATGGGACCTGTACTTCACTGTGCAAAGCTTAACAGTGTTAACGCTCTCCTCGTTCAGTGACCATTTGCATATATGACAGCAATAAAACAAATTTCTGACTAATGCGCACATTTATAATGAAATTTTGTACACCTGACAACAAAGCATGCCGGGGTGAGATTAACGTTAGCATAGCTGTGCAAGAACTTTATCTGAATGAGATGGCAGCAACCAATGATCTTTACTGCGTGACGCAATCGAATTTCCACTTAGTAATCATTTCACCTAATCATCTCAGTCATTTAACAAGGAGCGGTTGTAGTGTATTTTGGTTTCTTTTATAGAATAGAATGTTTATGTTATAGAATACCTCAATTTAGACTAATTTAATTTATTGTAATCAAATACTTCTGTAATTTGTTTACAGCTCTGTTGATCTGATAATATGGATTGTTTCACCGGGATCAGCAGTACTGAGTGTTTTCTGAGCTTGCTGCCCTCCCTTGTGTCCCAGGATCCGTCATCGGTGGCACAGGACAGCCGCTCTGCGCTGGAGATCGCCTCGGAGCAGCGGCGGCTGTGGTCCACGCTCTCCAAGGACAAGCAGCAGGAGCTGGTGCAGAAGGAGGAGAGCACTGTGTTCAGCCAGGCCATCCATTACGCCAACCGCATGAGCTACTTGCTGCTGCCGCTGGACACGAGCAAGAATCGACTGCTCCGCAGCTCAGGCCTGGGCGACGTGGAGAGCGTCAGCAACAGCTACGTCACCAACAGGTATGGCCGGGTGCAGAGACCGCACTCTGTCTGGGGAGCTTGCGAGGCTCTTGCCCCCGGTGCACGGCTGATATTGTCGGTCCTCGCAGCATCGCGGGGAGCATGGCCGAAAGCTACGACACAGAGAGCGGCTTCGAAGACTCGGAGAACTCTGACGTGGCCAGCTCGGTGGTGCGCTTCATCACTCGCTTTGTTGACAAAGTGTGCAATGAGAGCGGGGTGACCAATGATCACCTGAAGGCCCTTCACACCATGATTCCAGGTAGGCCAGGTCGATTGCGCCAGAGGGTGGCGCTGGAGAGCTCGTGTAGGTGACAGTGATTGGAATGTTCTGAGCGTTGTGCCAACCACGTACATCACTGATGTGTTCTCTCCATCATTCATCCGTCTTCAGTCTGAGTTAATTTTAGATGTTTGAACTTCATTCCTCAGGAGTACATATATGAGTATCTGTGAGTAGCTGTGTGCATCACCGAGATAACACACTGTCCTTCCCCTCTTTGTAGATATTGTTCAGATGCACATCGAAACTTTGGATGCTGTCCACAGGGAAAGTAAGAGACTGCCCCCAATACAAAAGGTAACCAATTCATATTTTTACGTAAGACTGGACAGAGGCACGTAGAACACAAGGTCCCCCTCCCCCCCGTCTGCTCAAAGTCAAGTAGGTAGTCAGGTATGTCTACATGGCTGCATGGTGTGACTGAGCAGTGCATGCAGGTTGTTGACCTTGGAATCTTGGCTATCGTTTGTTCAGAGTAAGTTCCCCTTACTCTGAGGAGTTCTCTACTCACTGTTGGACAGTGCTGATAGTGGTTCTCTCAACTAAAAAAAAAATAATAATCAATAAAATAAAAATTCTTGCAGAACTAGAATATCTGCTCAGTAAACTATTTGGGACTATTTGATTTATTGTCTTAAGTCCGTTTCAGATCAAACAGTGCTGTTACAAGAAAGACTAGTCTTGGAAGCGATATGTTGGTTTCTGGTTTGCTTAGTGAGTGGCTTAGTTTCACTTTGTGAAAAATGTTATTACCTTGTTAAAAGATTTTGATAATGCAGACATACCTTCTGAAGATAGTATTCATCTGACTCAGAGCTAGACAGGGTAGAGTGGGGACTTCACGTTTTCATAAACAAGCACCGCTGAGACTGGAACGATCTGCCGTCCAGTGCTGGGTCACCATCGGATGGAGACGGCTGTGTCACTGGGCTCAACAGTCTTGCATGCTTGAGGAATTAGAGTTTAGAGCAGTTCAGAGTTCAGCCCCTAGACACGGCTGGAAAGGCCGTTAAAGGCGTTACTGCAGTATTAGGCTCCAGCACCTCCCAACACGTGCATTAGCCAGAACTCATTGCGTGACGTCTGCAGTGAATTTCTGTGAACATCTTCCTTACAGTGTACTTCCAGTTTCCTTTATTGTGTGATGTGGAATTAAATTCCTGCTCTAGCCCCTAATGTTTCTGTGCATTTCTAAACTTAGTTTGTTAGCACTGAAATGCTGAGCATGTTACCTGGAGGAACCATATTGTTCTGACATTTTTCCCACTAACCAGATCATATTTTTGGTAGTTTAAATTTTCTAAAGCTAATCAGCTTTGAAAATATTTCGATACTCAACTTTCAGTGCAATACACATTAAAAAACTGCATTTTATTCTTTGCTTTGCTTTCCTATGTACATTTACTTATTCACATTCTAAGATCTTATCAGGATTAATTACTCGCCAACAGTGATTCATGTTTGTTCTGAATTCAGTTAATTTTTGCAGCAATAACAATAATCTCCAGAAAATACTTGACATATCTGTTTTCTAGTCTTTGTGTGCTTCTGTCGGGTAATGGCCGCTGTTCCTTCATCAGCCCAAGCTCCTGAGACCCAGCCTTCTGCCAGGTGAGGAGCTGATGATGGAAGGCATGAGGGTTCACCTGATCCCAGATGGGCGGGAGGAGGCCACAGGCCTCATGGGGGGGCCGCCCCTGCTGCCCGCCGAAGGAGCCGTCTTCCTCACCACCTACAGACTCATTTTTAAGGGAACCCCCAACGACCCCCTCGGTGAGTCCCGTGTAAAGGCAGCTTGAACCTCTTGTCTCCAGGAGTCGTGTAATTATGGGAGTCACTGGGTCCTCTGTGCCTCTGTCTGCAGTCGGGGAGCAGGTGGTGACGCGGTCCTTTCCCATCGCCTCCCTCACCAAGGAGAAGAAAATCTCTGTCAACATACCCATGGACCAATTCGTCCAGGAGGGCCTGCAGCTCCGCTCCTGCACCTTCCAGGTAGCTTGCAGTTGCTCTGCTTAAGTAATTTTGATCAATGCTAACTGTGTTTTAAGAACCATTACACTCAAACATTTGGTGACGCTAAACCTAGCTTAGTTTAAAAGTTTGCTAATTTAACAACGTTGTTAATCGATTGGATGAAGCCCGCTGATACTTAAGGTCCCCAGAAATTATATTTGGCCTAGAATTTCAATATGTTATTGTAGTTCCGCCCCTTCATCCACGTGTCCTTCCACCATGCTCCCGTTCTGCTCTTCAGCCTTTCATCATCCCAACCGATCATGGCATTAGTGTCTAATAAATAAATCAGATCTATGTAATGTGTTTCCATTTCAAGGAGCCATTTCGGCGCCTTGCTGGTCTTCATATAATGCATGTCTAGCAACTTAGAACATTTTTCTGCTGCTTGCTCCATCCCGTCCGCAGCTGCTGAAGATCGCATTCGACGAAGAGGTTGCCTCGGACCTGGCGGAGGTCTTCCGGAAGCACCTACACAAGCTCCGGTACCCCCAACACGTCCACGGCACCTTCGCCTTCACCGTGGGCCAGTCGGGCAAGATGGTGGTGGAGCACAAGCACAAGGACAAGAATCAGTCTTTGAAGTAAGATGGAGAGGCTGCATGTGGAGCCGCCGAGATGACTCAGGCCCACGCCTGTGCCGACAGAGCTCCATCTGAGCTTCTCATATCGTACTGCTCTGTAACACATGCTCTCCTGAATCTTTCAGAGGTTGTGTGAGGAATGGCTGGTTTAAACATCTCCCCAGTCTTTAGTTAATGTCTTATTTAATTTTAATGTGTGGCCTGCCAACAGGAAATACATACTGCATAATTTTCTTGCATAATTTAACCCATCTTTGAGGCACCGTGTTAATAGTTAAGTGTTGTTGAAATTGTGTGCCTCAGTCCCATGCCGTTTGCTTGTCTACAAAGAAAAAGTCTTTCTCCTTTTAACAAATCAGGTGCCCCGAAATAGCGTGGCTGATCATCAGCCACCATTCTGTAATAATCGGCGTGATGCGCGTCTTGTGTGTGTTTATGCCTCAGCTCTTGGCAGACGAGCGAGCCGCTCCACGGCATCAAGTCCGGCGTTTACACGCTGGCCCGTTTGAGCTCCTCCACTACGTAAGGCCGCTGCAGGCACTCCGCGTACATTCCCTCTCTCCTTACTCCCTTCCCGGGCTGCCACGGAAAGAACACTAGTACTGGCGCTGAATTATTCATGGCAGAAAAATGTCATGGCTCATCTATCTATTTTTTTTCCATTCGCCAGTGTGGCACAGCCATTTAAATGCAGGAAAAAGAAAACCCTCTGAATAAATTACCCATAGAACTTCACAGTAAGTGCAGACGTAACTTTATACATTTATAAAGATTACTGGGATATTCAGAAACAAATGCACTGTGGATTGATGTCCGGACATCTTTTCTGGAAAGGCTGACCTAAGCCATACCATTTGGGGCCATTTGATAAGTGCTCCCATTTCTGATGTGAAAATAATTACTGCTGACTGAACATAACTCAATGCATTTCTATGCAGACAAGCTGACAAAATCCTTAGCTTAGCTTTTTCCCCCACTTTTGTTTCTTGAACAGTTCATAATTATGAACAAAAAGCATAGCTCTCCTGGGATTATTCGAGCAGCAGTCCTGGCCTTCGATCCATGTCAGTACTAGTGGTCTAGCCCAGGCCTGGTGATCGCTTCGGTGTCTGGAGCCTCTCCAGTGACCTGATACCACTGCATGACCTGACACACCTCCATCTGTCTCACCACCAAAGCACTGCTCTTCCGGGCACTGTACACACTGGAGGCTCAGTCGGTGTGTCCGTCCTGAGCCAGTGGCATGTGCAGTCAGTGCCCCCGTGGGCTGTGAGTGGGTGGGTCTGACCCACACGGTGTTTTGTCAGCTCTTGGGCGTGGGTGTGAAACCTGGTCGTCTTTTACTTCTCTCAGATGGCCTAGCGTTTCCTGTTTTACCTCAACCTTGTTTCCTCCCTGACCTTCTCTCGCCCGAGGCTGCGCACTCGAGCGCAGACTGTGTCACTTCCTTTGCACGGCCTGTCAAGACAGCTGTCTGGAGAGCTGCTGCCCCCTGCTGCTGGGAGGGCTTTGTCCTCTCCTCTCCAAACATTGCTCTTTCCGGTACTGCCCGGAGCCTCAATGGGATTCTCCCGTCCCGCAGAACACTCTCTAAGAGCCTGGTGAAAAGCGCCAAAAAGACCATCGGCCGGCAATACATGACGCGAAAGAAGTATCAGGCCCCAACGTGGGAAACCCGGGGCAGCGTCCAGCCTCCGCTGGATGAGGACGAGATCTCCGGTATGTCTTCTGCTGTAAACATCCTGTTTCTTCTCGTTATGACCTTTCATTACCCAGTGTCTTCATTCCTGCAGGAGCGTCAATGAGTTTGGCAGACGCATCACCAGCCTCAGGCAAAAGCTCCAAATAAATCTGAACGAGCCCCCAATGACTTCATTGGCTCAGACGTTCTCATTTTCAGAATTCCATACATCAGAGCAGTCCTAGTCCAGGACTTGGTGTCTGTTGCAGTTCTATGGCTCGTACACACTTTTAAAGTAGTTTTGCCAGCCAAATCCTTTTCGACACACCAATAAACAGTCGGTAGTGCTTCGGATTTCATCCTCTCAATCTTTTGAGCCAAAAAGTTCAACATATATTTTCTATTTTGGCCACAGACAGAGCCGCATGGATGACATGGTCCATGGATTTGGTCCCTAAAAAGAATCCCACGTCAGTAATATGGAAATAGTCTGGGTTTTCCAAATTGACACAGGGCAAATGGTTATTTGCAACATTTACAAAAACAAGATTCGCATGTCGGAAGGCAGCACAGCAAACCTTTTTAACTGCCTCAAAAAAAAAAAAACAAAAGTATGCTGAGTGTGTTTGTTTTCAGGTTTATCATCTTATAGGGCTATGTTTTTTCAAATAGGGGAATTTAGATTGGTTGTCCTGTTAAGTTGCAAAATAGACTTAGAATCGTGATATGATTGTGGATCATGATCCTACTTGAAAAAAATCACAATATTTTTGCCATATTGCCCACCCCTAGTGCTATGATATTCAGAGAAAGACTTGGAAGAGTGAATTCAGTGTCATCTCTCTACCATGTAGCAATAATCATATTTCGGTTATTTTAGGAGGGTGTCGGGGTGGAAGATTCTAGCAATGCCCCTGACATATGGCATCTTATTCTTGTTTATTATGTTCTGATTTAGGTACATTTCAAACAATTTCAAAGTTTTGTTAATTTTCCCTGTATTATGGCTTCATGTGGTGTTCTGGTTACTGGTATTTTCAACCCTTCTTAGAGTGAGTTTTAAGCCGTTGTCTCCCCACTGTCATTCAGTGTCGGAGGAGATGGAGCAGACCTCACTCACCTTGTCCTCCACCATCAAGTCGTCGGACCGGCAGACCATGAGTGGCGTGGTGGAGCGGGCCTGCTGTCGGGACTACCAGCGCCTGGGCTTGGGCACGCTCAGTAACAGCCTGACGCGCTCCAAGAATGAGCCCTTCCGCATCTCTACAGTCAACCGCATGTACACCGTGTGCCGGAGGTGAGCCCGGTCACTCGAGAGGCTGCCGTCCTTCGGAATCATCATCTAGCTAGGCTTATTTATCTTCCAGTTCTTTCCGATGTCGCTGAAGTACTTAATTACATCAAGGTTGCTGTCACTGTTTCAGCCCAGCGGTTAGACCTGTCCGGAGAGATTTATCTCTGTCTGAGATTTAGTTGCTGGAGGTCAGACGATCTTTGTGTTTGAATGAGCGCTCTCTTGGTTTAGCTACCCCGGGCTGCTCATCGTACCTCAGAGCATCCAGGACCCCACCCTGCAGCGGATCTCGCGATGCTACCGACAGTGCCGCTTCCCGGTGGTCTGCTGGAGGAGCTCCCGCACCAAGGCCGTACTGCTGCGCTCCGCAGGCCTCCATGCGAAGGGCGTGGTGGGCTTCTTCAAGTCCCCCAACACCCCCAGTGCAGGTGAGACCCTGTCTACGGCTCGAGACACGTTCCCATGTCCGCTGCCAGGGGAACTTGTATGAAGATTTGCATGTAGCCAACATGCTGTGGTTTGGGGCCAAATGAGAAGATCCAAGGGTGTAGAAGTGCTCCCCTAAGCACACACGGTACTCCCACGGTATTTGCAGTGAAATATATGTATTTGCGAAGCTTACTGATTTAGATGGGGTTTTCTCTAAAGTACTCTCAGGTGGTTGAGGTTTTGCTATTGTATCAAAAACCTGAGTATTTCCTGATGCGGTGGATTTTTTTTCCTAAACGTGAACTGTTACGTTCCCATCGTGCAGAATTTGGGCCTCCCATGACAACGATTTTCAGTACTGTTGTTCTCCATAAAGGTCCCTCCCAAACGGACTCCACCAGCCTGGAACAGGAGAAATACCTGCAGGCCATCGTCAGCTCCATGCCGTCTTACTCGGACGCCAGCGGCAGGAACACGCTCAGCGGCTTCACCTCGGCCCACATGAGCGGCTCCGGTCAGCACCAGCGTCACCCCCATCCCAGTGGGTTCTGCCTGCACCAGTCTGTCTGAGGCATTTGTGTCACTTTCTGAAAACAACAATCAGTGAAACGAAACTGCATCTCATGAAACAGCCCTTAGAGACCCGCTGAGCATGACCTTCACATGGCCAGCCAGATGCTTTTCCTGGGTTTCCATATCAGACGCTAATGGGTGTTTGCTCCTCTGTGTCTGCTTACTGATTCCAGACTCGTCAGACAAAGTGAGGCAGCCCAAGATTGGCGCCCTGATGAAGCAGGTGATGGGGAGCAGGGAGGACACGCCTGGTACCTTCAGCAGAGGAGGTGAGGGGTCCCATCTCGCTCTGTAACCTTAGGAGTGCCTGTATATTCCCAGCTTGGTGTCCATGCTGGAGAGGAAGCCGACACGCATCGGCTATAGGGATCTACCATGCTTGCTTTGCTAGGTAGACCTCAACCAGGTTGATTTTTTTTTTGGAGAAGCCAAACATGAATTTACATGCTATCTATGAATCAATCCCACTAAATGTTCTTATTACCTCACTACATCTGTTGTGTAAATGAGACCAATATCATTGTGTTTGTGACTGAGCCTGAGTTTTATGTAAATGTATATTATTTGTGTTTCATTATCGAATATGTAGCTGGAACTCCACACTAGTATGTTGGAGCATGGAGGATGGGATTATATTTTATTACCCCTCAAAGTGAGTGTTAAGGGTGGAGAGGCCAGCTTCTGTTACACCCAGTAGGGCGGCGACAGTGTGTTTCCTTTGAGCAGCTGCACTGTTAGTAATGGGAGTCTCTGTCCTGTTTAACATCAGCGCTAGGTCAGAGAGGGAGGGTAGTGTCCCTCTCTCACCCGAGAGCTTCAGGGAAGACCCGAAACTCTCCCAGAGGTATTGTGGACCAAGCAGGCCCTCGTGGCATGGAGTGAAATCTAACCAATCAGCTCTCTAACAGCAGTGTCAGCCCTTCTTAGCCGGCGCCACAGTACTGTGAATCGTTGTTTGCCACTTTCAGGACTAACTTTGTGTTGTCCATGTTCGCCTAGCGCTCACTTTGAGTAGCTTTAAATGTGCTGAAATAGCAGCCGGCAGCTGCTAACATCAGATCTTTCCCTGTTTCTGATTTGTCTTTCTCAAAATAAGTCCTCTCAGGCTGGTAATTATGGCTTTTACCGGCCTTTTTCTTGTGGTGAAAAGTTTTTGGTTTCTCAGCAGTGTGGGGGGACAGCAGTCATTTTCAGTTACAAGCGCCGAGTCCTTGACTGAGTCTTCTGTATCTGTCCTGTGAGGTTTTAATGAGGCAGTCATGAAGAGTGAATGACACAGAGAAATGCATGGTAACAGGAAAGTGAAAGTGAAAGTCTCAACTCAAGAAAGCAAGTCTGTAGAATGCATTTGTAGAACTGATGTTGACTTTCCCCGTGACTTGTTACTAGGCAATGTGTCCTTCCGACAATCTGCTGATAAGCAGCTGATAGTCTGCTATCTTCATGTAGCCTCAAGGACAGTTACAGATAATACAGAGCTCTGTCAGCTGTTTAAACACAGCCAATGAGAGAGACATTGGCTAAACTTCCTTCTTCAAAAGCATCAGAAGGACCTTGTCCACTATCCTGCCTGAGAACCACCAAAAACCACTTTGGGTGCTGCTCGTCTGTGCCGAGAGTGTGGGTATAGACTGGCATTGTGTGGTCTTTGACTCCTGTATGTATGCGCCTCCCACAGGCAAGTGGGGCAGCATTCGGAACAGCAACCGCCTGAGTACCTTCAACCCCGACATGGGGAACAGGCTGGCCAGTAAGGAATCCCCCCAGGCCAACGGAGGCCCAGCCGACACTCACTTCCTGCGGCAACAAAGAGCCTACCTCTATATCATCGGGGACAAGTCTCAGCTGAAGGTGAGCCGGCCAGTCTTAGGTCTCACAGCCCGGGTATGTCCAAACTGAACTGCTGTGTCCGCAACTGAGGAACCGTACGTGTGGCACACTGTGTGAAATTCTCAAGGAGACTGAGATCTAAGCAGGTCTTGCAGAGCTGTCTGATTGTGCGACCTATAGGGCACCAAGCAGGACTCCTTCCAGCAGTGGGAGGTGGTTCCCATCGAGGTGTTCGACGTGCGGCAGGTGAAGACCAGCTTCAGGAAGCTGATGAAGGCCTGTGTGCCCAGCTCCACCTCTACCGACCCCAACATGACCTTCTACCGATGTCTAGAAGAGTCCGAGTGGATGTGTCTGGTAATGCGCACTCTTCGTTGGTTTCTTTTGTGACACTTTTTTTGTGATGCTTACATCGCTCTCCCTATATGCATGTGGTTTCTGAAGCTTAGTGGATTATGACATATTTTCCTTGTGTTGCCCCCTCCCAGCTTCACAAGGTCCTGCAGGTGTCTGTGCTAGTAGTAGAACTGTTGGACTTGGGCTCCTCGGTCATGGTTAGCTTGGAGGACGGCTGGGACATTACCACTCAGGTAACCCAAAATCACCGAAAGAGCACGCTTGTCAGCCTCAGTCCATCCTTCACATAAGTCATGCTACTGTTTAACAGTTTTATAGCCAGTTTGCAAATGGGATGCAGTTCAGCCAGACATCATTGCGCTTTATTATGGGGCTTTTTCTGGATATTTACTTCCTGAGGGAACCCAAAGCCCTTCTTGGACGGGTTTGGTAATGTCTGGTGCTTAGCCTCTCACCTCTTGCACACTTTCTATGGCATTTAATTGGAGGTAGGTTGGTTGTCGCGGTTCCTCTGCCTTTACCTGGCTTCTGTAGGGGGCGCCGACGTGCTCTGCTCTCAGATGCTCTTTTCACGGCTCTTGCCGTCCCCCTCCACAGGTGGTCTCACTGGTCCAGCTCCTGTCGGACCCGTACTACCGCACCTTCGACGGCTTCAGGTTGCTGGTGGAGAAGGAGTGGCTGTCATTTGGCCACCGCTTCAGCCACCGCGGTGCCCAGACGCTGGCCGGCCAAAGCAGCGGCTTCACGCCCGTCTTCCTGCAGTTCCTGGACTGCGTGCATCAGGTGGTGGGGGGGGGGAGTATGGGGGGGTGGGGTTCCTGATGAGCCACCGTCCTGTTATCTGCAGCTACCTCCCTTATCGTTCTTTTCTCATGGAAGTAGAATTTTCCATTCAATGGCAAATACAGCTGTTATTCTTTATTTCTAATTAAATTCCTTCCTATGTTGAAAAAAGTTATATTAATCTGGGTGTATTAGTTGTATTTACATGCATGTTACTTCAGCAACTTGACAAATGTGCGAAATTAAAGGTTTCAAAATAATCACTGTCCTGTTCGTGACACTGGAAAATATTCCATATGCAGATTAACAAAAATGTTTTTCTCAGAATTTAGCAAGTGAATTGAAAGTTTATAAATGACATTTGTCCATTAGCCTATATTGCCTACTGTGCCTTTGTTGCATATTCAAGAAATAATTTGAACATTATATATGCGCCCCCCCCCCCCCCCCCCCCACACACACACACACACACATACACACACCCCCCCCCCCCCCCCCTCAGATTCACCTGCAGTTCCCTATGGAGTTTGAGTTCAGTCAGTACTACCTGAAGTTTCTGGCTTACCATTATGTTTCTAACCGCTTCCGAACTTTCCTGCTGGACTCCGACTACGAGAGGATCGAGCTGGGTGAGGCGATTGAGCGTTAAACCCCTTTGCAAGTGCAATGACGTTATTTGCCTGAAATTCCTTGGGGGTTTATTTAAAAACTGGGCATTTTTGCATAACAGCTAAGCATATGTTAAGTTGACCTTGATTAGTATATTGTGGTAGGGAGGAGTACTGTTAGTGTATCATCTGTGCTGGAGCAGACATCACGGTCTAACAGTGACCTGCTCGCCCTGCAGGTGTGATGTATGAAGAAAAGGGCGAGAGGAAGAACCCGCAGGTTTACAAGTCGGTGTGGGATTACATCGAGCGACTCAACAAAAAGACGCCGATTTTTTTCAACTACATGTATGCCCCCGAAGACGGCGAGGTGAGTCTCCTTACAACAGCTCAGCAAATTTCAACCCCTGAAACCTGCCAGCCCTGTGTATTTCAGCTGCCCCCTGGTGGTAAAGTGCTGTTACTATCAATGTCTTTCAGCATCACCCTCCCTCCTTCCTCCCATATCCAGGTGCTGAAGCCCTACAGCTACATCTCCAACCTGAAGGTGTGGAGCTTTTACACAGAGGAGACCCTGTCAGAGGGCCCCTCCTATGACTGGGAGTTGGTGCAGGGGAAGCCAGAACCGGCCGAGGAAGGCGAGAAGGCAGACAGCTCCGCACCCCGGTCCCAGCGCAAGGTGGTCTGGCCCTGCTATGACAACCACATGAAGGTGGTGCCGGATGCCATAACCAAACTCCTCCAGGTCAGAAACCACCTGCGGACTATCTCTCCCTGCCCCATGCCACCCAGCTCAAGTCAGGATTACCGGTGTCCTTAAGTGTCCTTAACCCTCTGCAGTCAGAGGTCCCACCCGCGGAAAGAAACAGAAATCTCGCCAAACCATGTGTATTTTCACCTTATGATAGGTTTATTGGAACGTAACCCCATCGTAACCTGGAGAGAGGCTGTTTATAGTTTTTCATAGGCTTTCAGTCTGCAAAGTAGATAAATTACAGTAAGAACCGGAGCTGAAATGGTCATTAGTAGTGGTCATTAGTAGTGGCCGTTGCAAGCTGAACATACCTGTGTTATGCTCAGTCACAAAACATCATCGGCAGTATTGGCCAGTGCTGTCAGCTTTGATTACATGTCTCCGCCAGGAGCTGCAAAGCCTGGAGGCACAGTTGGGCCTGGTGTCAGACAAGTGGAAGGACACCTGGGACAAGATCAAGACGACCCAGCGGACAGAGACGAAGGGCAATAGCAGGGTGAGATTCCTCTGCTGGACAACCAGGATCTTTCCCAGAGTTTACATGATATGCATGGCATCAAACTACTATTTACCTCCTAGCCTGTAGGTGACAGGCTTTGCAGATAAGCTTGCAGACTCTGCTTTCTGTGTCTCCACCCAGGCCTCATTCTCCAGCTCCCTGCTGATGTCATCCAACCTCAGCCACCAGCGACGCTCCCAGGGCCTTTACCTGCAGGAGGCTGCCGTGGGCTCCTCCATCAACCTGGGGCTGGACGGGCAGAGTGGCGTCGTCACCTCTCCTGCGGGGGCAGTGGCAGGCCGGCCCAGCACCAGTACACTCTACAGTCAGTTCCAGAGCACTGAGAGTGAGAACCGGTGAGCGCCGGTCATGTTCTGCATGAGTTTAATGCTCTTCTTTGACATTCTGGCTGCCTTGTGTGGCTTATGCAAAGCTCATTAGTTACTGTGTGTGTGTCTGTGTCTGTGTCTGCTGTATTCCCAGGTCTTTTGAGGGCATCCTTTTCAAGAAGGGTGCTTTGCTGAAACCATGGAGACCTCGCTGGTTTGTGCTGGACAAGACAAAGCACCAGGTATATTGTGACTCATTTGAGAAGTAGATAAAGGTGGTGGTGGTGATGGTAGTTGTGACTCTGCTATTACTCAGCGATCAGCCCCCCCCCCCCCTCAGAGAGCTCTCTCATTCCTCCTGATCCCCTACAGTTGCGATACTACGACAATCGTCAGGACAAGGAGTGCAAGGGCGTCATCGACCTGGCCGAGGTGGAGTCTGTGAGCCCGGGCACCCCTGCGATGGGGGCACCCAAGAACATGGAGGAGAAGTCCTTCTTTGATGTGAGTCATTCAGGGCCTCAAATATGCCTGTGCATGAGTTTTCATTGTTATATCTGAATTATAAGTGAACTAGTGACCCGCTAGCCTGATGTCAGGAAAAACTTTTGAGTTGTTGTCCTTCATTTTGTGTATGATCTGTTAACATGTTGCTGATTTATCTATTTATTTTTATTTTCTTCACAGCTCAAGACGACAAGAAGGGTTTATAACTTCTGTGCACAGGATGCGCAGCATGCGCAGCTGTGGATGGACAGTGTGCAGAGCTGCCTGTCGGATGCTTAGGAACCTCTCTATTGGGAGGGTTCGGGAAGCCCCGGACGGACCAAATAGACAGCCAGTCACAGGATCCCTCAGCTGCCAGAGATTGGGTGGGGGAGGGGTGGTCTGGACAGGGGGCATCTCTCAGTATTGGTTTCTCTCTTCCCTCCTATGAAAGTCCACGGAAGGTAACAGTCTCGCTGTCCCCTGGTAGCCCTGCTGGTTACTGCCACCCTGTTCCTCTATGACTGACCACTGTTTACCCTGAACCACTGCGACGGGGGACAGAAGTGCAGCGTTCGAGGCTGACGCCTGGTGGCCTGGTTGGGAAGACGGAGACCACTCCGGTGCACTGTCAGAAAGCAAGTCCCTCCCCCACTCTCAGCTCCTTGCTCCTCACACTCCTTCAGTGCTGGTTTGGGATGATCTGGCCCAACGTACTGTACATCTGTTGCACTTTAACCCCTGGCGGGGGGTCGACAGAAAGCCCCACCCCTCTGTCCTCTGGATCTGCTGCAAGGCAACCCCCAGCCTACCAGGGCCGGACATCCTGTAAGCGATTCATGAAGGATTCAAAGTGAGCCTTGTGTTTGACTAATGAAAATATCAGTCTCTCCATGCAGGCAGTCAGTATACTGTGAATATGAGTTTCCTTCATAATCCATCAAGTTAATGTCAGTACAAAGGTACCCATGATCGTAATCAGCCCATTGACAGCTTTTAAATATCCATTTGATTGTTTACAAAGCAGCTATTATCTACACCTATAGTTTTTTTTCTTTATACATAAGTGTTTTAAAATAAAAGAAACTGATATTAATGTGTAAAACTAAAAGGGATGTTTCAGGATACAGAGGGACATATAATCTTGCATTTATTAATTTATGCATAGAGATACAAATTATTATGAGTAAGAAGGGGAGGGAGAAGTTTGGGGAAACCCAGATTTACTAGAGTTTCCTAGTTTGTTTACACTGCACGACGGTGGGAGCCCCCAGTTGGTTGTCTTGTCAACTCTTATGGAACCTGAACAGCACCATCTGCTGGTCAAGTGCAAACTATCAAGCATTGGATTGCTGAAATGATGCCTTTGCAGTAAAGGGAAGTCGTCTGATAGATATTGGAAGAGGCACAGGAATAGTCTGATAAGCTACCTGGACCACAATGGAGTAGATAGGGACATTTTCCATGGATATGGATTAACAGTGGCTGTTCTGCGTTGCTTTTGACCAAAACTGATCAGATGCTGTATATTCCATATTTGACCTGCAGGTGGCACTGATCATACCCCACATGCGATATGTGTTCATTTTCTCATAATAGAAAACAGCAATTCAGTTAAGGCATTTGGAAAAATGTCTCCTGTCCATCTGGTGGCAACAATGGCTTTTTTTTGTGCTACACTGTATGAGTTCTTTGGTGTCTTTAAAGGTTGTAAGGATTGCTGAGAGGAAGTGAAAGATTGATTTGGGCCCTGACCCCACCTAGTCTCCTGGCTTGGTGTACTCCAGAGAGTGAGTTTTTTTAACTCCATTTTAGTCCTCCATCCACAGTTGTTAGTTGCCATGGTGTGTGTTTCTCACCGTCGTGCTTTTATTTTCAACCAGTGTTTTAGGTGGAACCAGTTACCTTTTCTCTGTTAAGCCTGTAAATAGTCCAGCCTTTGTCTGGCAGAGGGTCACTTATTTGTACAATGCCAAGGTGCAAAACCAGTCTTCCTTTAAGCATCTAGTCACTAGTCTTATGGACTGTTTTGTTCCCCTTCATGCCTCATAATAGGGTCTCACTCCAGAAAGTGTGTATATATGTCAGTTGGAGTGTGATGTTCGGCTTTTGGTAGGAGTGACACTGTGTTGCTCTGCTCTTTGTCAAGCTTTCTTTCACTCCTCAAGTCTGTCCCCAAGGTGAAGCTTGGCACCTGGGGGGAAACATGCATGTTTTCAAACCTGAAAGGCGAACAGTGTGGGTTGGTTCATGTGTTTGTCTCCTTGTCATACCAACACATTGGCGAGCTTCTGGTTTATCTGTAAAAGGGCGTGCTGCAGTACATCCCATAACATTGCCGTTTCATAAATACCTTTTTTTTTATCTTATAGGAGTTTTACTTACACAAAAATATTCTGAGGGCATAAAAAAAATTATTGGTCCAAAGACATAATCGATGAAATTCTAGAAAAGGTGGGTCTAAGCCACTAGAGGTGGGACCAACCAATCAGATGTCTTGGTCCCACCTCCTCTAGCTGCTTGGACCTACCTCCTCTATCTCTCTGAACCAATCATTTTTCCTTCTGCCCTTTTTTTGTGCAAGTACTGTAAAACTCCCAAAACGCAGTTTTTTTTTTTCTATTAAAAAGCTACACAAGGGTGCAGTAATGCAGTTTAATTTTCCCTAGAGGGACATAGAGTAGTTTTAAAATGCTTGATAGTTTTTCTAAAGTCCAACATAGGATCTGCATAGGAAGCATTCTGTCAAACGAAAGCTGGCCATTTCGCCTCATCTGCCCCATCCTCTGTAAGGAAGAGCATCTCCTTTCAGCTGACAGATTGTTCACCTAACTTGCAGGAAATGACCAGAGCGATGCAGTGCTTCATTTGCTTTGTTGAGAGGGTGAAAGCTGCTGCTACTATGGCAAATTATGGATATTAGCTTTTACAGTCCTCTTCATACCGCCTGTGTACACAACCACTATAGTGAGGAACGTGGTGTCTCGTCGAGCTTCCCTATGAAATGTTGATGTTCATTCTAATAATTGTCACTTGTACATACAAATTTTTATGTAACGTATGATAGTAATTTATTTAACTTTGTCTTGTGTAAAAACAAAAAAATATCGAGTTTGCCCTTTAAACCGCTTTATTTTTAAAATTAGAAATCCACTATGTGCCATGGTTGACTTCTCTATTAACACAGCTACTTTTTTTATTTTCATTGTTTTTTTCCCTTCTGAAAATTTACTGTCAAATTCTATTCAAAAGTAAACAATTTTGGAAAAAGCCCTCCCTCCTTTATTGGCGTTGTGGTCCTCTGTAGCCCCTTAATGCTCGGTTCGGTGATGCGGCGCCGGTGTCGATGCTGCTGATGAACTCTGCTGCCTGTGGCTAAACAGATGGCTGACAGCCCTGCTTCATCATTCCCACTGTAGTCACTGTAGTCTGCCTCTGTGTAAATATCCTCAGTACATTCTACAAAGCTTTTTTTTTTTTTTTTTAAACAAAGTATTTCTGGAATCTGAACCATTCCGTCAGATTGTCTCTTCTTTTTTTAATTTTTTTTTTTAATTAAACAAGTACCCTGGATTTGTGCGCTTCTGACTTATCTTTTATTCTCCTTTATTTCCTTCTTTGGAAATTTGACAGTGTCTCCAGTAAAATTGACCAACATGGATATCGGAGAGGGGCACTTAATTTAGATGTGGTGGTTTTAGTGCATAGTTTCTACAGCCTCTCTGGAATTATACAGGGCTTTTAAGATGTTAGAGTGTCCCTTATGCAAACATTTTGTAGGGTTTTCTGAAAGGTTAAGAGGAGACTTTTGAAGGGTTTGTAGGAAGAAAGTACTTTCCAGCTTAAAAAGTTACATAAGTTGTGCTGGACAAAGAACTTTTATTTACTGGTAAGTTACTCGGAGTATAGCCTGGGACCGTGGCCTCAGGATGCACAGTGTAACCAAGACTCTCCATTCCTTACATCCTGTAATATTCTCTGCAGGAAAATCACACTCTAATGTTCAAAACACGATCTTCTGGCATCTCCAATGGCCCCCCTTAGCGATTGATCATCATCTTCTGTCAGCGAGACATTTTCTCAACTTCATGCTGCCAACACCAGTCATATCCAGTTTAAACTTGTATTCTATTTTAATGTACATGCGTATGATTAAGTAATATGCAGACCAAGAAGATGGTATCTTTATCAGTTCAATCCAGCTGAGATCGCAGACAAGCTCCTTGGCAATGTCTCATCATCCATCCAGCACTGATCTGAGTCATGGTGCCATTTTTCAGGTCAGGAATCATGGTGCCATTTTTTTTTAATGGAGCAGAATTGACCTAGGGTCGTTATGACTCTTAGCACAGGCAAATTTTCACACTTAGAAGCTGTAAGGAAATTTGTTAATGCTCCAGATTGAAACCTGTCTAAACATGTTCTTATCAATTTCCCAAAAGTTTATCCAGAGTCCTGTCCAAAAATACAGGGATATCAAGTTAAGGCAGCAGCTTGGGCTAGGTTATGTTCCTGGTATAAATCATGTTTTCTGCCACCAGGAGGAGCTATTTCACAGCAAGTCATTGTGAGGTAAGTCTTGGTTTGAATGCAACTTAGCAGGTTGTAGCAGGTATAAAAGAGGTCTGATGCACAGCACTTTGGTATGTGGACTTTCAGAGCGTCCAAAGAGGACAAATAGATTTCCGATGCACGGAATCCTTCTCTCAGTAATCATAAATCACAATCTGCAGCACTATTACATTCCTCTATGGCTAACAGCATTCTAAACTTCTAACGTTTTTTTTTTGTCGTTAGGTTAAACAGTTTGTTTTAGCATGATATACTCACCAATTAGCCATAACATTATAACCACCTGCCTATGGTTGTGTGGGTTCCCCTCGTGTCACCAAAACAGCCTGTTGAGTCATGGACTCCAGAAGACCTCTGAAGGTGTCCTGTGGTATCTGGCACCAAGACAGCAGCAGATCCCTTAAGTCCTGTAAGTTGTGAGATGGGGCCTCCATGGATCAGACTTGTTTGTTCAGCATGTCCCACAGATGCTCGGTCGGATTGAGATTTCAGGAATTTGGAGGCCAAGTCAACACCTTGAACTTTATGTTCCTCAAACCATTCCTGAACAATTTTTGCAGTGTGGCCAAGTGCATTATCCTGCTGAAAGAGGACCTGGGAATACCTTTGCCACGAAGGGGTGCATCAATGTTTAGTTCGGTGATGTGGGTCAAAGTAACGTAACATTGCCCAGAGCATCGCATTGAGCATCGCAAGCTGCAATGCCCTGTGTTTTCCAACACCCTTCTATCATAGCCAGTATTAACTTCTTTGGTGATTTGTGCTACAGTTGCTCCTCTGTGGGATCCCACCATATGGGCTCGCCTTCACTCCCCACGTACATCAATCAGCCTTGGACACCCATGACCCCGTCGCCAGTTCACCAGTTGGCCTTGGACCACTTTTGGTAGGTACTGGTCTCCGCATACAAGAAACACCCCACAGGAGATGCTCTGATCCAGTCGTGTACCCATCACAATTTGGTCCTTGTCAAAGTTACACTTGCCCACTCTTCCTACTTCCAACTTCCAACATATCAACTTCAAGAACTGAGTGCTTAATACATAATGGCACCATTGACAGGTGCCATTGTAACTAGATCATCTGTGTTATTCATTCCACCTGTCAGTGGCATTAATGTTGGGGCTGGTCAGTGTAAACTCTTTAAATCAGTATGTAATCGGCCTGGTATGAATCTCTGTGATAGAGTTTGCTTTGTGTGTGTTGCAGTGCTCAAGCCATGACCGCCGGCATGCTTGACAGAAAGCCTGTGGTGTCGCTTAAACGCTGCAGCTCTGGGGCTTCTAAGCGATCATGCGTCACAGTCGATCCTTGGGGATTTTCATATATACGCTCTTCTGCTCTCGCACTTGTATCAACATCCATTACACTAGATTGTGTTGAGTAGGAAAAGATTGCACTGCGCTCGCTTTTCATTGGGCATTATGCCTATACCCAAGACGAGTGCTGGCAGTAAATTGAAGGGTCTGGCTGCTATTTTCGTGTTCTATTTCTGGAATAGGTCCTCCAATAAATATCAGCACTCAGGTCTCCATGCCTATGTTTGGGAATGAGTTGTGGTTCCTGTTTTTCTTTTTTCTTAAATGGGCAGGAAAATGTTTTCTTAACTTTACTTAAACATGCTTGAATTGAACTAAATATAAGCAATGAGAAACAATTAAATTTTGTAAAGAGCTTTTGGTTTGTTGATGAGATTTATCCTGGTTAAACTACTATGAAGGGGAATTTAATTTACTGGTAGGCAGTGCACTGACCCAAGGTGACCAACTGTTATTGGAAGCGATGTTAAGAAGACAGTTTATGAAGCGAACATGACCGCTAAGGGTAACATTTATTAAACCGCAGTTTCTCCAGATGCTCCTCAGGCCACAGCCCTGATGTTTTGTCAGATGGATGTTTGGGACTGAGATGTAGGTGGCTATTGTACATATCAGGAAGACCTATCACCCTAAGACAGTGTTTCCCAGTCTGGTCCTTGGGGACTCGCAGATGGTCTGCATTTTAGATCCCTACCAGGAGCTGGGAGGGAGCGAAAATGTGGACCGACTGCGGGTCCCCGATGACTGTATTGGGAAACACTGCCCTAAGGGGTTAACTTTTGTAGAAAAGACCAAAAACAGCTAAAGAGAAATGCATCATATACAGTGACACAGTATTTAGCCTTTAAATGAATCTTTCTATTGATTCCAAAAATCCACCCATATATAGCTGTGCTGACTCTCCACAGGTGATTTTACTGAGGTGCACCCCCTACTGGTCGGATCGAAATGCTGTTTGAACACATGATCTTAAGTTAATCTCTCCATCCATCCAATTTATTTCTGTACCCGCTTGTCCTATGCAATAAAACCAAATTGTATTTTAAAGTTTTATTTTTAAATGTGCGTTTAGATTTTTTTCCCCCCCTCAAATGTCCAGATTAATGACTGGTTGTGCTCTCTCACCTTCAACCCCCAGGAAGAAAAAGCTTAGGGCAAGGGTAGACGCTCCTGATCCTGGAGTGCTGGCATCCAGCAGGGTTTCTATCCTACCTCAGGTTACTGTCCGCCAGAGATCAGGCAGAATGGCATATTTGCTGGATACCGGCGCTCCAGGATCAGCGCCGCTTACCCCAGACCTTCAGTCACCTTCAATGACTCTCCCTCCACAGAACCTACAATGACATGCCAGCCTAAAAATATTCACTGCTCAATGGTTTGTTCTTAAACCCATGTCATTATTCCAGCTGTATTTAATATACAGTATGTCAGGTTTAATGCACTCTGCAGTAAGAGTATGACACGTTTAGGCCTATTCTTGGCATGGGTGGGTCTTAGTCCGTATTTTTTTTATTATGTCCTTGCAGATTTATTCATTCCAAAGGGTCCTCTTGGCCAAAATGGCATCAACCCTTTGGCCAAGTCATGTGAAAACACTGCCCAAAAACAGCAATGCATGTTCTCAGTTTAGATCAGAACAGGAGGTCTTATGGGATGAGGTACAGCAATGTTGCTGTTAAGATTTTATACCAGCAGTAACGGCGCCCAGCTAGCTAAGCTGTACCCGCGCTGGACTGCAGCTGGTTTATGTATAAATTCGTTCTCACTCCATGAATCGTGGCCAGCCACCTAAAATTCAATTGCTCCCTGGGAAAATATTATTTTTTCTGTCTCCTTTTAAAGGTCTTGGTCACGCTGCTGTTTCAATAAAATAAAGAAAAATTGGTATCTAAGAGGGACTGATAACTGAGGTCTGGCCCATAGCTGTGCAGTAAACACCTTATAAACTGCCATGATGTCACACAGCCCAGTTTGAAACTTTCCGGTGTGTTTTAAACGCCGTGCCCAAACAGAGCTGGCATGTTGGCCTATTCCATGGATACAGCAGCCTGGTGAAGGTGGTGACCTCGCTTTCAAGGCTACCATATCCAACAGTCGTCCTGACTTTTAAATTGATTGACTTTTTCCAAAGTTGTTCCTGGCATGTTTTCAATCTCTGTAGGCCCCATAGTTTCACATCAACTAAATCTGAACTAATTCATGGATGGATGCCAGGCACAGTCTGTGGGACAGGAGCTAGTATGATCTTCACCAACCTCATATTGGTGTTGAAGAAACAACAATGAGCTCTAATTTACTCTGATATTTAGTTCAGATACATGTAGCTGGGTGCTTCAAGGTCATTCATGACCTCATGTAGCAGGCAGTAAACACCATAGCTTGCCCAAGTCCGTGTGACCTTTTCAACTCTCACTTTTGAAGCATTTCATTGTGCATCAGTGTATAGCATAAACTGGCTTCCTTTGGATGATGTAAGAAAATGCAGAACCATGGAAAGTTTTAAAAACCATCCCTTTTATACAAATTAACTTCAGAAGGAAAGTACGGACATTGTCCTCAATGATGTCATGGTGAGGAACCAAACGAAGGGTTTAGCATCTGACACAGACTGAACTGCGAAGTCCTGCAAAATACAAAAGGCGTTCAAAAAAGAGCAATGTGGTCTGTGTCATTTAGCTCAACCTCATGCCTTTAACTGTCTTTCTCCCTCTCCGAGGACCAAGCAGAATGCCATTTTCCTGCTTCATCGTCTCGCTCAGGACTTCCCCTCCGAAGTCATCCTGGCCTGACATTTGGTCCTCGGGACACTTCCCGTCGTAGGTCCTGACGTAGTCCCGCACGGTCCAGCCAGCAAATTCAGGCGGGGCCTGGCAAACCAGGCCAGAGTGGTAAACGCCAGGGTGCAGCCTTAGCCAGTAGAGTAAGTAGTGGATGTTGTAGTCACACACCCACGGATTTCCCCCCAGCACCAGCCGGCGGATGAAATAGAGGTCCTCCAGGACGCCGTACTGTATGTGCTGAAGGCTGTTGTTTGACAGGTCCAGCTCCCGGAGGTACAGAAGGCCATTGAAAGCAGCTTATGGAATAGAGAAGGAGATGTCACTGGCCTTAGGAGCAGGGTGAAAAAGTGACACCGGGACAACTGCAGAGACTAGATTTCAGGCAAGACCTTTCTATAAATAATGTGTTTCTGAATAGATGTCATGCTTCACCAGTTTTAATCTGTAACACAATTTGCGTTAATCTGTGCATCATTTAATGGAATGCCTTGTATTTAAGTCATACTATAAACATACTATTCAAAAAAGGCATACAAATTTTCCAGAATCACTGCCAGAGATTTCTAAAGGGTTTATACCCTGATGCTAAATACCGAAACATGGCCAAATGAACATACCGTGCACGACTATCTCTCTGAGTACAAATCTACTGTCAGATCATGATTTTCCTCCTATAAAGTAAATGCAGAATTTAAAATGGGGGAAAATTCATGATTTCCATTGGCTTTAAATGTAAAACCTGGAGTGAACATGCAGGAAAGATTGTGAAGCCACACCATTTAGCAGGTACAAACTGTGAATGTGTGCGATCAGTTTGGGTTTTAGTTGCCTATTACAGAAACTGGGGGGGAAAAAAAAATCAAGGAACCACAAAACATGGAGAAAATTGCTTTTGTGTTTTCTTAATGTCTTGTATTCTGCACTTCAGAGTCACCATATGTATCAACAGTCAAAAATATTTGAATTTCCTCATCAAAGCTTTAGCTAAATAGGTATGTGTGTGACTTGATGGATGTACTGAACATGTCAATCTCTCATCACTGTAGCACTTTGCATATCAGGCACATATCATGTTACAAAATTACAGGTTTGACCCCCACCCCGACAGAGTGAAGTAGTGAAGTTACAGAGAACACCCCTTGAAATGTATTCCCTCCCTTGAGTACGCTAAATCTACCTAGCACCCCCCCCCCCCATCAATAGGGTTGGTGGACCCCAACCAAAATATATTTCTGGGTCTAGTGTATATAACTGAGCAACTGGGGGCATCCTTCTAGCGTAAATCACTGTCTGAAGGACTGGGTGGTGGCACCACACACTGAAGAGGTGTGAATGTCTTCAGCTCTCCCAAGTTGGCTTTGCTGTCACATGTTATTCGACTGGTTTTACGTTTAGCTTTAATGCAAATAGGCAGCAGAGACCCAGTTAGATCCTCTCGTTATCCCTGCGACACTCTAGCTATTAATGTAATTAACTTCATACTTTGCACAATGGGCTCAATAGCTGCCCCCGTTTCTAATAGCCCAGCATCACTAGTGAGGATCATTAGACTGGATTAGCATAAAGCTAACAAAGATGTACCCACCAATCTCAATGCCATCTAGGCCATTGCTGCTGAGGTTCAGGGATCTCAGGTCTTTGGCAGTCACAAACTCCTTGGGCCTCAGATGTCTGATCTTGTTTCTGGACAGGTCCGCCTTGACTATATCTGGGGGGATACCTGCTGGAACGTTTGTTAGGCCTGGAAGAAAAGACAGGGAGGACATGGTGGGCTTGCTGACACTCAAACAAATGCGGCTTTTCCTCTTGGCGCTGAAGGAGCTTTTGGTCTAAATTTGCTTTTCTGCTCCCTGTTATCTGAACAGCATTGGCAAAAAGAGTCATCTTCTGCCTGCTGTGCATATGTCATGAGTCATATTTAATATGTTCCCAGCAAAATTCCCCACTGAAAGATGTTTTCCAATGCCAGACCACTTCACGAAAGGTTAACTCAGTGTTGGTGGTCTTCATGACCATAAACAAATGGAAGATCAAGAAAGTCACTTCATGGCAGGGAAGGAAGATGCACTCAGCCTTCATCTGACTCTCCTTCACTATCTGGCCTGATTGGATAGAATGGATATAGAAATTGTGGACACAACTAATGGACACCATTTTAGGCTCAGAAATGAGCTCTTTTTTTATGGGTGAGGCTGAACTTGGTTCTGTTGCCATAGGTAACCCTTGGATGGCAACACTACTATTTGTATGAGCAGTACCAGTGCTTGGCGATGTGGCGCTCTGGGCTGGCATCACTGCTAGTGCCCACCGTCCGAGACAAAGTGAAATCAGCTAGCAAGTTGGCAACCCCTCAGAGGCTGGTACCATAAGTGGCCATCAACGTCACCTTTAGGATTGACCGGCCCTGAATAAGTAACGTATAGCCAGTTGTTCATGGCTACAGTCGTTCTAGTTGTTTTGACTTCCACAGGCTATATATAACATTTCCCAATAATGAACTGCAATGGGCTGGAGCTAATGAACTTCTCTAGTGGTTCCGCACTGGGGTTTCTGCTTGACAGAAACCAGCCGAGTAACGTGGACCACATCCAGGAAAGATGTCACAGGGCCACTGGAGAATGCTGGAGTTCTCACTTGCGCACATCCTGGCAGGCAGCTCTGTTGTGGCTTGAGTGTACTGACTGCATCAGCCTCCCCCATGCCTACAGCGTGTTGAGAAGACTGACAAAGCAGTTTCAGCACTTCCAGCACAGGCAGTCAGCCTGGGAGTGACCCTTAACTCTGAAGCAAGAGGTAGAGTTAAACTACTATCCATTACAAGAGTACTTTTCCTTGCAAGGGACCCAAAAAGGCCCAATAACTGTCGAAACAGCACTTACTGACCCTTAAATATGTGAGCAGAAATGAGTATCTTACATACATAAGTTCCATGACCAGGGAAAATTCCCTTAACTTTCTTGTCAATGTGCTTGGCGTCGTTAAGAGTTTGACTCGGATTCTGAAAAGCAGACTAGCAGGTCGTCCTCAGTACTTTCTTCCAGGACGTGGGGCCAAATGGAGCCACGTTCTTGCAGTTGGGCCAGCATGTTTGACCCTTGCTGGACTACAGTGAATGGCTAGCAGTACCAATTCCTACAACTCATCCCCAGGCAACTTCTCAAATAAATTCCATTTATAGTGGTACCTCAGGACTCGAAATTAATCCGTTCAGAACTCCGGATCGAATCCTAAAAAGTTCGAATTCTGATCGAATTTTCCCCATAAGAAATAATGGGAAACCAATTAATTGGTTCCGAGCCCCAAAAAATTATAGCTAAATATGTTTTTTTTAGCATTTAAACACAAAATGAACCTGATAAAACATGAAGAGAATATACTGTACTAAACACATCTAAGCACATTTATCAAAACAGTAATTTGTAAAGTAAGAAAATAAATGTATCCAAACAATGTGTAAAGTTAAAAAAAAACAAAAACAATGCCATGCCCTGATCGTCCGCTCCTTCCGTGTGCCACACCCCCTCCTTAACCCCGTGTGATCAGCTGTTTCTGGTTGTTGTCATTAGTCCTCTGTATTTCCTCGGCGTTTCAGTTTGTTTCCCTAGTCCGGTCATTGTATTGTCCGTCTGCGTTTTGCCTGCCTTACCTGTAATTAAACCCCGTATTCCCCGATACCCTGACGTCTGCGCCTTTGTCTCCGTACCGTCCCCGCTGGGCATGACAATACTATTATAATTAAATGTATTAATGGTTTATTATTAATATTAAAATAATGAATAAGAAATCTTTATTTTTAAATGTATTTTATTATATAATACAAATTACTGTTACTGTCTATCATTGTCTAAATGTATTTTTACTGTCTAAATATATGTATTCAGCTAGTGTAAACATGCACGATGCTATCACAGCGAATGCGAGGCTGAGACTGAAGCTTTACCCTTTGTTTCCGCTGAGAGACGTGCCGCGTGACTCATTTCCCCCGTGTGTACAAGTTACCTTAGGTCGGCGTTCATGGTTTGACTTCTGAGATTCAGATCGAGTTGTAGGTATTTTTTTTTCCGAACTGGTTGGTTCGACTTTTAAGAAATTTGAGTTCTAATGAGTTTGAGAACTGAGGTACCACTGTGTATAACCCCTTCTCAAAGTTTCTCCCCTGGAAACCACAGAGGTACAACTCCCTAAATCCGTAATGATTTACTGCTGGGTAGGATTTGCTAAATCGAAAGCCCTGTGGATGGAACAGAGAGAGCACGTAACTTGCTGTTAAAATTTGAGAACAGGGGAAAAGTGTAGTTTTACCTCTTAATAGTTTTTTCATGAAAACTATGCATACAACAGTGTCTACTGGAGCTGCTTTGAGAAATGGGGCCAGGTGCCCACTCCCCTCCTTTGAAGGCCTTTGCAAGACTGGAAACATTGGAAACGCTCTTATAAAGGGATGCTCCATACACTGATAGTAGACCGACATCGCAATGTAGAAAACATTTCTCTTCCTCAACAGTCCCCATCTTTTCAAACATTCTTCTATATGTAAAGGTACAGATATCTTCTGGTTAGGGTAAAGCTACAACATGTGTAAATTTCACTCATTTTCACAGTTCACTTTCATAACAAGCATCAATAACATTCTGATTCAGGCAATGAGATATTCCCAGCGTCTGGAACCCAAGTGAAGCTGTGAAATGATCAAAGAAAAATCCTCATTTTTGCCTAGAAGTGCTGCTAAGAGTAAAGGTGTGTTGGATTTCAGGAGCATGAATGTCTTTCTAAGGTTCAGACGAGACGAGACGCCCTACTATCTGTACCTGAACTATTCCGGCTCCCACGCACAGCTATGCTGTCACACAGTTCCTCGTTTGTTGAGAGAGTCATAGTTCAATGACTGTTCATTCCGACTGGCCCCTCTCAGTGCAGCTGTGCGTGGATGTTTCTCAGAGGGGGCGTGTCGATAAAAAACCCTGAGAAAGGATATTTCAAGACATTTGCACAGTTGTGCATCTTCAGAACATCCTACTCTGCTAATGGCTTTTCGGAGACGGCTCATTATTCCGCTGGGTCTAGATCAATGCTGCTAAGCTGGTTTTTTTAAGCAGCCTGCATGGCTTTAATGGTTTTACCTCATAAGAAGGAAATATTGTATCGGAAATTCAGAATAATCGTGCACTAGGGAACTCAGATGGTCAGCACAAGAGAAGGGGAATTTTATGGCTCTTGCTGGAAAACAACAGCATTCCTTTACCTTAAATCTGCTTTTGAACTACAAATGAATTACAGTTAAATCATTACAGCCAGAGTGTTGATGATTCATTCTGCTGTGTTGACATTGGCAGCATTACATCTGTAACACCAAGAAGACAGGTCTGATTTCCATTAGTTGTTAAGAAGTTGTGGATGGTTGAAATCTAAGTTGTTCTTAGTTATGAGGACAGATGCCTACCTCGGTTCTGACAGTCCAGCAAAGGTGTTGGGAACATGTAGGTGTGGCAGGAATCTACGGCATCAAACTTTATCTTCACTTTGTCATCTTGAGGCTCTTGGAGGATGTTCTCCTCCAAATGAGGGCACAGCAGCTCCGGCCTGATCCTCTTCAGCTTCTCCCCCTTCAGCCTTGGGGGCTCGGCACACTTGGCATAGTTTCCCAGGTAACGGTTGCTGGGCACCTGCAAGGTCCTGACCAGGGTGTCGAGTGAACACTTGCAGTGCCAGGGGTTGTCATAGAGACGCAGGAATCTCAGGTGGGGCATGGGAAGGAGCACTTCTTCAGAGAGGGTGTGCAGGCCATTGTGCTGGAGCAGCAGCGTGGTCAGCTGGTCAAGGCCAGCAAAGGCTTGCTTCTCAATCCTTGTCAGCTCGTTCTGCTGCAGATCCAGGCTCCTCAGATGCGGAAACTGTCCAAAGGCGTTATCCCGCAACCCCTGAATCCTGTTTCTGGCCAGAAGCAGGTGGAACGTGTCCCTGGACCAGCTAATGGGGACTATAGTCAGTTGTTGGTCCTGGCAGTCCAGATATTTCTCTCTGGACTCCATATACTCCACGCATTCTGACACGAAGCGCTTGATTGCCCCCATCCTGTTCCTGCCACGACCACGGCCCCGCCCACCCCTCTGCCCTGTCCTCCTGGACTGAACAGAGCTGAACGCCAGGAGGACAAAGAGAGCCATGATTACCCGCATGCTGGTGCCGAACTGTTCTAAAGGAAAGGAACGCCCGTGGAATGGGGATGCAGATCGTTCTTCAGTCCCTAAGGAGAAAATCATGGTGATTAACAACAGAGCCAAAAACAACAGCCAAGCAAAGTCCCCAGTCACTGCAGACTCAGCCAGAGGATGCATTACTCCCCCAGGCTGACTCAGGATTTCCTGAATCCCTACTAAACCTTTACTACTCCTATCCAACTGTACAACACTCTGACCCACAATGGAATTATCTCATCTCCACGGAGGGTAAAACAACCCCAATGCTCCGTTTATAGACAGTGTTACATCATTCAAACACCACATGCAGCCAGTGGCCCTAGTGCTGTGTTCCTTAGTCCATCAAATGCGCTTATCCAGCAGTTCTATACAATAATGCTCCTGCAGTGAATATAAGTGCTCAAGTGAGTCAAAGAGGTCATTGGCCCTAGTCGGTAGCAGTAGACATGCCAGCAATGTACTCCAAAGATCCGACAGCGTCTACAGGTGTGTGTGCAGAATGCCAAGTGGAACACGTCATACAGGAAGGAGGTCGGACCACAGTGGTGGCAGGAGGGATGAACTTCAGAATTTATTGTAGAGGGAGGGAGGGCTACAGTAGTAAGAGGCTTCTGCTTAGGGGGCAGCACTACAGTAACAGTTAGTTATACTGCAGAGGATATAGGGCTGCAGCAGATGTAGGTCCCTGCAGATCAGACCATCCGGCACTGGACTTGGATCCAGGGAGGTACTCGCCACAATCTCAGGAAACAGCACAAAACCTCATCTAAGATCTGACATCAAGTCAAAATGCAAGAGCTGTACTACAGTGTCGATGCACGCCAAAGACCACCCCCGAAGACCGGCGAGCTGTGTAGACTGTTAGATTGGAACAGCTCCATACAAGCGGTAGAACTCAGGGGGGGGGGGGAGAGAGAGAGAGAGAAAAAACCTCTCTACTTAATCGGAAACATTTGGATTGTCTACAAAGAAGAGTGCAGGACATGATCAGTCAATCTATCAAAACTAAACTTGTTCCCACCCCCCAAATCACTTCAAAAACTGTGAACAACAGAAAAGACATAGAACAAAAGATTAATGTAGTTTCAGTCCTTGTGTTTCTTTACTATTTAATGCACAGATCCGCCACGGGAGGATAACTTCAGTCCAGCTTGAAGTACTGACCGTATGTCTTAACCTTAATTACCATGCATCTGCTGTTTTACCTCACATGAAACCTTTAACGCCGCCCAGCTTAATGTCTTTGATGTCTTCTGCCAGAGATTTTACATAGTACCTTAATAATCTCGGGTGCTGTTCGGGGCCTTTATATCGGAGTCCCCGACAGATGTTCTCTACTTGCAAAGAAACAATAACGCGTTTTTTTCCACCCCTACTAAAGAAAGACCCAGAAACACCATCTGCATTCGCCAAATGGAAAATCTCAGCACTTATACTCCCATGCAATACGGCATCTCCTGTACTTTGCATGGGGGAGAGGCAGCCTTGCGTACGTCGTAAGCATCTGGAGTTTCGGACAGTTTCGGGTGACATTACCTGAGCACGGGCTCCGGCTGCCGCAGAAGCATCCGCTCCAGCTGCGCACTCCTGTCCGGCCGATCGCTCTCCTCTCACTGGCAGCCTGGAGCTGGACCCTGGAGGACGGACTTTCACCGCTCACTCCTCTAGCTTGGAGGCAAGGCAGCTGCTGGTTTTGAGTTACACGCGTCCTACTCGCACTGAAGCCCCGGGACGGCTGCCAGCAATACTAAGCTCGTCCTTGCTATAGAGCTGAAGTAGCTTAAGACTGAAGGACTTAATGCTTGAAAACGATGTTCTGAAAGACCGCGCTTCAAACGAGAAGATAATTCATTTCGTGGAGCTTTCTGACTTTTGATCAAATGTATTTTGTAAACGATATTTACAGAATGAAGGTAGAATTACGTGTAAGTAAGCGCGGTTTAGCTGTACAAACTGTCAGACCTCAAAATCGGAAGATTGGCACAAAAACCTGGGGCATCGACTAAATTTGGGAAGAAGGACACGAGCTAAATCAAGATTTGCTGCTGTTTATATAGGATGTTTACGGACACGAGTACACACGCAATATGCACGTGCGATATACATAGCAAAGCGCGCGCCTTCCAATGCTATGGACTTAAATCCCTCTAAATGAATTATCCGACCTACTGAAAAAATCAAAGTTAAAATGATTGCAGTCCAGGATGCAGTCGTTGAGGAAGCTGATGACATTAACGCCGTTTTCTTGTGTCCGCGTATTTGGGAAACGCTTCTTATGCTCGGTTGCCTGTGATCAGTACCGAGCACCTCCTCCCCTCGTGGATGTTTTATGTTTAGGACATGATGAGGTCCTCCTGCTGCCACCCACTGCGGCGCTAATGAAGCGCCCGTCTCCTGGCCGCAGATGTTCACACCGGCTGCTGCGGTCTTTCCTCAATGGTGGCCAGGGTTAACTATACCCAGACTAAGGGTGTTACAATACTACTGTTTCATTACTTCATTATTTTATGGTTAATAGAGGCTTATTATTAGCTATTCGGTTTTAGTTGATCCATTTTACAGGATTTTGCAAAGTTGTCAGTAAGGCAGTTCTTTTTAAATTATTATTAAAGTAGCCTTAAATCGTTTTAACAGTAACTGCCCCCAATAGGCTTACATATCGTGAGAAACGTTAATTGCGGAAAGTGGAGTGCATTACCGAAGTAACAACAAAGAAAAAGAGATGCCCTAAATGTCGATTAGTAAATTACCCAACTGTGAAATTACCCAGTGTCAGAGAAAGAGATGATTCATTCACTCTAACCCCAAGAAACCTCCAGATTTCATAATAAAATAAAGATGTTCCCGATGGCTCTCCCTGCAACTGCAGACGTTACGAGCCTTTCGTTAGGTTATGGTAAAGATTCGGGGTATAAAAACCGCACCGGTGCGCAGTACCTTTGATCTCGGCGGGTCAGGGACGAAAGCTCTCTGGGAGTCTTTGGGGGGGACAGAAAAAAACAATAATGAGAGATACTTGATAAAGGTAATGCCGGTGTTTGTATTTGGTGTGTTTTCTTTACCACTGTTAATCTATTTTTGAACCACTTATCCTGGTCGGAGTTGCAGGAGTGACTATCCCAGATAGCAAAGGGCACAAGGCTGTCGTGCAGCCCAGAGGGGAGGTCCGTACAGGACACACATACGCTCATAGTCACGTGCTATGGGCAATTTAGGGGCACCAAGCAGCATGTCATTTACTGCAGAAGGAGACACACAACAGGAGGTGGGCATGCAAGCACCATATGAACCTGCAAGCCCTGCAGGTTCATATGGTCGTGACTATTCAATACGAATAGTCGCCACCAGGGTCAATGTTAAGAGCGCAAGATGCGCTAGGGATGTTTACTAACATGTATGCAACACACGGTCATGGTCTGGACATGCGACAAAATGAGAATCAATACAGAAGATCTCATTATCCTTATCCCTGTCGAAAAGAATTTGGTTTTGATAACTGCCAGGAATTATCCTAGAAGAAGTTTACTAGTAAAAGTAATAAGCCTATACATTTACAAACAGCCTGGTGTGGTCCAGCAGTCTGGTGTTATTCCTGCCCTCTGTCCCCCCAGCTCCAACAGCCTTCAGAAATGAATATTTGCCTATTAGGCTAATATCTGTCTTGATGATACAGTAGATCTTAAAGTACAGCCTAATTTCTAACTCACCTCTTGGTCCTGCGCGCTGTCATCTTCCAGCTGCCTGCTCACTGTCCTGATCCTGCCATCTTCCTGCTGCCTGCTCACTGTCCTGCATGCTGTCCTCATCCTGCTGCCTGCTGGCTCCGTTTTATAAAACATTTAATGATATTATTTCCAAACTTTTACTAGATGTTTATAAGGAAGCCATAGCATTTGGAAAACTCCCTCCATGCATAAGATCCTTTTGGTCTTATGCAACTTCTGCAAGATAACATACCAAACAGACTGCCAATATCTAGAACAGATATTACTATTAATGGTATTAACATAAAAGACAGGAAATGGAATAATAAATTTATCAGAATATTACTGCATAACCCTATTACCTTATGATCTAAATTCTTTTGGAATTCCCAGTTTGAAAATATCAATTGGAATACGTCATGGACTTTAAGCAACAAATATTGTGTAACTAATAAACTAAAAGAAATTCAATTTAAAATTTTACACTTAATCTATCCCACAAACAAACAGTTAAAGAAATACAGAAATGAAATATCTGATCTTTGTTCCTTTTGTGGTATCTGTACGGAAACCATTCCGCACTTGTTTTATGATTGTTTACATGTCAAATACTTCAGGATTGAGATAGAACATCTGTTTGAAACATTGTCTTGTTGTAAGATTTTTTAGATAGGAAAGATATTCTATTATATTATGGGAAAACAACTTAAATAGTAATTATGTTTTTATTTTAAATCTATTTATTTTATATGGTAAATTGTATGTTCACAAATGCAAATGGTCCTCAAAGAAGCCTAATATATGCCAGCTTAAGTTGGGAATGAAATTTGATTTTAACACGTTGGATGGACTTAAAAAAAAATGAAAAGCTGTAAAAACTATCAGTTTATATAAGGCCCTGAAGAATCTTTTGTAAATGAGAAAGAATATGTACCCCTCTTTCTTTAAAATGTGATTTGTATTTGTTATGTTTTTTACATTGTTTGTATACTGTTGAAAAAAGCAATTAAAAAAGAGAGGTGGTTAAAATGGTACTGTATGGTCCACATTAGGGGTGTCTGAAATCGTTTTACATAAAATTTTCCTACAAGCAAATACTTTTTTACAATTAAACAAAAATATTAAGACCGCCCGCCTCCCCCCCCCAAACTGCTATTTTTGTCACCTTGGGGGGGGGGTCTGGGTCTTGATCGGGGGGTACAGTACCCTCTGTAATTCGAACCATGCGTGTAGTGATTGCTGATCCTGGATCTGAAGGCCCCACCCAAATGTACAGTATGAATGGTCATGAACCTCACCACTGTACCCAGTGAGCCAGCATGCCATCCCTACCCCTTCTCAGTACGAACATAGCGGATTCATTTCTGTTACAGTTTCCTCTTGCCACTTTTGTGAATAAAAAATAATAATAATGCACCTACAGTTACTGATTAAGCTGAACATCCCTTTGGGGGGGTGGCAGGACTACCAGAAATACTAGATGTAATAATTATACTCTAAGATACTTGAGACGACTGCAAAAACATACTTTGTGTACTTAGTCAGACTCTGTGTACGTCTAAATTTATCATTACTGAGCTTGAATGCTTTAGATTAGATGAATAGATCTTGCCTCATTTGCTGTGGTTCCTCTGTCCCAGTGGTTGCAGGTCTGCACAGAGCTGGGATGTCAGTCCGATTATGAACCTTCCGTATACTATCCATGGGCTGCAGGCTTCGCTAATTTTGAGAAGCTGTTCAGGTTGCAGCTTTCCTGTTGCGGCTTGGCCTTATTTCCAGAATTTTCTGGAGGCAAGCCAGCAAACTCTTCCCTTGCGGTTACTGGAAAGGGCTCCCTCAAAAACATTCTCACAGACGCAATACCAGGGTCCAGCCTTGCTGTGGTCAGAGGTAATCCGGGGTGCTGCTAGAGATTTTAGGCCTTATCAAAGCATATATTATTGCCCCCGCCCCCCAACCCAGAACAATCCAATTTTGTTCCAAATTGTTTTAGGGCCTTCGTGACTCAGGGGCCCTTGGAATTGCCCTAACTTCCCCCCATTTACAGCACCCATGGAGGTAATCTCAGGTTACAGCATCCCCCCCCCCACACCTGGGCATGCACCGACATACATCCATGCACATTTCTGCTGCCACGCTTGTGACATTATCCTAGCATTCTCTCAGTCGAAACCATGTCAGACATCTGTATGAATCTCCTGGAATCACTATATGTGTTTCTTCTCTGGCAGGAAATAAGAGACACAACCTCAGACGTAAAGTATTACTCACCCAAGCAAGAATTCTTTCTGCTTAAGATAACAAAGAGTTTGGCAACATTGATTGTATCCAGGTCATTAAATATATAGGTGTTTATAGGTAAATGTAATGGAGCTATTTAAAATGTTGTGCAGCATTCATGCATCTAGAAGGCTCCTCAGTTTTCCTTCCAAACCAAATGGTTTAATCTTTCAGACCAGGATCCCCAATATACAACTACACTATTCACCCCATGCCCCACCCTGATTGGATGCAGACAGTGGAAAGCACCAATCAAAGCCCCCACTGCCCCATTGACTGTTTCCAGGCAAAGTGGGAAGTCAGCAGAGTTTTTCAAAATGTGCTTTAAATACCCGTTATGTTCTCATCAGCTTCAAGCCATGAATGGAGGAGTTGTGTTTTGACTTCAGTACAGCTATCAGTTATGTGTACATGTTGTGAAGGCTGTACGGAGAGTTTTTTTTTGTGATTGAAGAGTGCTGTTTGTTTAGGTTGTAAATTGTCTGGCAGTTTTGCCACAGCTGTTTATTGTGGCTTTGTAAATGCTGGATTTAGCAAGTAAAATAATTCTGGTCTAATAAATATAAGCATAAATATTTCTTTTGAATAGGGCAGTTTTCTAACTTTGTGTTAAATCAACTGAAAGCATGGAAAAACTTGCAGAAAACATAGAACGTCATAGAAATGGAGTCTTTTGGAACATTTTTTTGTATATTGTGATGAAGGCCTTATATAAATTGCATCGAGTCTTCAAAAAATATAGTTTCCAGAAAGAGTCGGCAACCAATCAGATGTACTGCTGAAGTTTTACTGTTTTGTTGGAACTGTCAAGCACCAACAAAAACAAATGTTGAAAGGGTTTGCATTTCAAAATCCTCACCCTCACAACTCGCTCTGTTAGGTGACAGTCTGCTACGAACTCCATAGGCTCACTGCCACCAAGGGTTCCGGAAGGAGCTGAAAACTGCAGTTTATTTACATGACAAATGAGCCCAGTGAAATAATCCAGGAAACCTTGACATGTTGTGGTTAAGGTCCCAGAAAACACACACTGATGCTATGGCAGTACTTAAGAGAAAAACCCATAGCACGTTTTTTGCTATTAGTTAGTAATCTTTTCTAGAGAAGTTTATCTCCCACAGAGTCTGCATTTAATCTTTGACAGCATGTTTGCGTAAATGGTCATAATGCACCCTCAAGCATGACTAAGCCTGGCAGAAATTTCTTTAAATTTCTTATGTTCTTATGCTGTTCAGCCAAATAGTTGCTTCAATATTAGTTCAATTCAAGAACTTGTGGCCATAGGTGGAAATTAGCGGGAGAACACTTTAAACTGAATTTGAGAAAGCACTTCTTTACACAGCATGTATTTAGAGTATGGAATAGTCTTCCTGTTAGTGCAGTGCAAGCTAAAACCTTGGGCTCCTTTAAATCAGAGCTAGATAAGATTTTAACAACTCTGAGCTATTAGTTGAATTCTACCCCAACAAGCTTGATGGGCTGAATGGCCTCTTCTCAATTGTAAATTTCTTATGTTCTTATGGATTATCTTTCCTGTCTTCCAATATAGCTTCAACATCAAATCCCCAAAACAACGGCTTGCTCCTATTGTGGCACCAACTGTACAGATACATTATGCATCTGAATACTGAGAGGAGTGACAGGCTGATTCTTAAAGGAATGGAGCCAGTTACTTCACAATCCTGTCCTTTTCCAATTTTTATTTAAAGCATTCATTTGGAAAGAACATTCCAGTGAAAAAACCTGTATATTGCATGAAAAGAATTTTTCATCGGAAATAAAAAACATTGATGCTCTCTGTAGGATGCTTGAGAAGATTTCCAGACATCTTAAAATATGAACCACTCACGTCTTAGAAAATTGTTTACAGCACTGGTTTTTTTAGCATCCATCTT